CAGTTAAACCTCTCCCCTTCCCCCTGCCCCCTCCCCCTCCCTGCAAGGTAGACTAGATTTTCAACCTGGCACGCACCCACAGCTGAGGTCATGCCCACCTGGAGCATGCTTCCTGCGTGTGGTCTAGTTGGGTGAAGCAAAATCTGTGGGTGCCTTCACTATAATGCACACTTTCAGGGCTGACATTGGCCAGGTGGAAATTTTGCCCAGTGGAGAATATGCCCTTGAGAAATGCTCCTCCCCTCCCATCCCCAGAAGGAGGGGGAAGACCCCAACTCCTTTTCATCTCTGTTGAACATGTCCTTTTAAGACTTCCCATAGAACAAAGTCCTCTCTTCTTATGCTCCTCTTTCACTATTTTCTTTGAGCAGTAACTATTAACTACCACCACTTAGCTGCCAGCCGCTCTGCCTCTGTCGACGATGACGAGGAGGAGGAAGATAAGCTACACGCAATGCTATCAATGATCTGCTCTCGGAACCTCACAGCTCCTAATAGGATGAAAGGTTTTTATCTTCCTCTCCCCTGTGCCCCAGAGCCCCGTGGCAGCGCACTCCACTGATGCATACAACAGTGTTGGCATTATTGCAGGACAGACGTTTTGTTTGCTTCCACCCTGAGGTCAGAGGAACCAATCTGACATAACGTGGCCACTGTGCAGCCGGTTGAGAGGGCAGGTGCAACCTGTGGGTATAAGGTCAATAGCACCTCTTTTTCAAGGTCATTCTGAAGCCAGTGAACATGCCATCATCTCTCTTACGAATTGAACCCCGTCAGCATGATCATAAGATCCAAATCTCGTCCCTTGCTCACAGAAAAATGGAGTGTAATGCATCTTTGTGCTCTCCTGCTTAGGCTACTCGATTTTATGGCCACTCCGTATACTGATGGATTTCAGAGGATCAGCTGCTACCCTTCCCCTTCAAAAGTGCTTCATTAATGATGATGCAGTGTGGCCTAATTAGCGGATGATCAGGACCTGACTGCATTCTTCTGGAGACTCAGGATTCCTTCTGTCCTAAGGAGCAAACAGCCTGGTGTTCAGCAGAGGTGCCCTGCGCAAGGGGGAGCAGCCTGCATTGGGACAGCAGGAGTTCTAACACTCTAGAAAGGGGCTCAAGAGTACAGCTGGTCAGTAAAGAGGGACGAAGAAGGATCTGCAGGAGTGTTTGTACCAGTTTCACTCTGGTCTTCCCTCACGGAACTCTTCAAACTCGTCCTCCCCAAGCACAAGCTTCTCTGTGGCCGTGGCTTCCCGGGACTCAACCGATTCAGGAGCAAACCCATCTCTGTCTGCTGCCAGCCTACCAGTCAGTGCCCTGTTTCCATGCCAGACCTCTTGGGTGCATGTTGTATAAGTTTAACGTGCTCTTCCTTTACCAAGAAAACAGGCTCCATTGATTTTCTGGTAACAGGCAGTAGCTAGGAGGTTAGAATCACATCTCTAGTCCTGCGTGTGATTGAGTCCGCAGGTCCTGCACAGAGCGGATGTCAGGGATGGATCCCTTTTAAATGCTACATGTTCTCTCTGTATCCCTGCAGCATAGATTTAAGGCTTTGGTTTTTATATCACTGTTTTTCCTTCAGTGCTCTGCATGCACCAGCATGGTTTTCTCACTACTCAGTATTGCAAATACAGAAAGATTCAGAAGAATAACAACAAACACCATACCACACACCCTGAAGCAGGACAGGGACATGGGAGAAGGTGAAAAGACCCATCTCTTATCCCATAAGCTGACAAAACAGTGGCCCTAGTGCTGAGTGTACCTCATCTGCATCCTGGCTGTAGCTATCCAAGGATGAATCGGCATAGGGCTTTTAAGTTTTTTCTCTTCAGCAACTGTTATAGTGCCGTCCAGTTGTGACATGGATGCTTACCCACAAAGATCTTCCTTGCTTCAAACAGGTCCCTCAAACAGCCATCGAATCGAAAGGCTGACCACAGCAAACCTAAGCTGGATTTCCATGTTCTGTCAAAGGGACAGAGAAGAACCACCACCAAAGAGCACTCCTCTTTCACTAGAAAGCTACTGCTTGCAGAAATATTGATGTGAGAAGTGTGTTCTGCAGATGAGAACAAAGAGAGTTTAGGGCAAGAGCGGGCTAGTGTTACATGCCAGCAAAGGTTAGACTGAAAAAGCAACCTTCACCTCAAATCTACTTAGTTTTGTTTTGGAGACTCAGTCACTTAAAAAAACATGGAATGATTTTAAATGGCCATTAATGTTGACAGCAGAGCTAGGACTACCGGACTGTTCAGCAGCAATTCATGTCAGCAAACTAGACTTGATTGGCTTTTGTCAGCCCATCAGCGCTCCTTTGAAATAATGACAACACTGTTGTATCGGGTTGGCTAGCCATTTGCTTTTGATTTGTTTCAACATGCTTGACTCTTGCATGTGGCCAGAGTTGCAGATTAAAACCGCCAGCACCACAATTGAATAAAATGAAGATGCTGTTCACTCTAATTCTTCACTAATTCAGGTACCTTTCATCTGAATCCTTAGGTTCTGTGGGGTTCTCTCATTTTTGAAGTCTATTGTTCCTTTAAAAAAAACAAACCAACCAACCCACTTTTTTCTTGTCTGTGGAGGGGGAGGTAAAAAAAAAAAAAAATCTAAAAAGATTTGTTTTGTCCAATGGCTTTTATTTGAACCAAATGAGAAGCTGCAATAAATACTTGGTCATTCAGCTCCTTCCTGAAGAATTAAGGTGAAGAGCATTTTTTCATTACCGTTGTTCTGTGAAGTGTAATATCTATGTGACTGCTTCCGCATGAGCCTGTGCTTTTTTATGTTCACGGACATTTATTATTCCCCTCAAGAGCTGCCGTTAAAATGCTTTATGTTGCATTAATGGCGAAATCCAGATTTAAAAGAGAGCCCGTTTAAAGCAAACAAAAAAGTGAAAGCAAAAGCCTGTCTTGTTGCCTGCAAAGCAGAATGCATGAGATGGTTTGGAATCCCCCCTCACCCCCCACCGAGACATTTTAAAAGCGCAGCCCAAGGGATGGAAATTTGCTTGCACATGTGAATGCGATGGCATCCAATGCTGTGTCTTCTGCCTTAATTTTAAATCATGGGTGAGCTGAAAGGCCAGTTATTTATGAAAAGCAACAGCTGGGAAAGGTTAAGAACTCGAGCCATGATTGGCAAAAGCAACTAGTGATCTCTCTTTCTTGGCTGTCTCTCTAGAGACACCTGAAAGAAGCCCAGTTTTCAGGCCCACGTAAAGGTGTGTCAAGCTGGGGACTCCGAATTACCAACTTACTTTCGAGCATCTTTGCCTTGAGGCTTTGAGTCCTGATCCCGACACTCGTTCTATTTGCACAACCCGCCCTGAGATTGCAGGCACCTGGGTACACCTATGTGGAACAGGCGCTGTGTTCAGAGCCGTGAACTCAATCATTAAAATGATGCCTTTGAACAACGGGCACAGAAAGGGTTGCTGTTGATACCGAACAGATGAGGGGTGACATCCCAGATTTCCAGGCACATGGAATACATTTTTACTATTGATGTTTAGCCTTGTTCCTTTGTGAACTAGGATTTTGTTGAGGCAAATTGGGAACAGCAAGAAGCTTGGGGTAGGGCTGAGGTTGGGTAGTTGAGTCACTTTCTCCAGTTCCACCTCCAAAGTACCGTGACTTCTGTAATACTCCTGTGGAAGTCAGTGGAACTCAGTGTGGGACTCTCTCTTCCCCTGCAAGTAACTGTTTTAGGATCAGGCCCTGAGTATTAAGAGGAAAAAATTCTCCTCTCATTATAAAAGGACCCCAAGTGTGACCCTGGAAGGTGTGGATTTTTTAATTCGAACTCAGCTGGAAGCTGTGGAGCCACTGCAGAAATCACCAAGTGAAATTATGTGTTTGAGCAGGAATGGTCGAACTCCGTGAACTCATGATGGCTTCTTGCAGTAAAATGTTCCTCCAGTGCAGGGGTGGGCAAAATGGCAGATCCGGCCACTGGCCAGACTCCATTTCTCAGCAGCTCCTACCTGTGTGGCTCCTGGCTGGCCTTAATGGAGAGACTCCAGGAGCGCGGGGGCATGACAGCTCAGGTCCAGGGCAGCATGGGGCTGCAAAACTGGCCCCTGCAAAGTGGCAATGCAGCCTCTCTCACGCTGTTGTTTGAAAACACACAGTCAGGTGTGCATTGGGGTTACTAAACATGATTTTAGTGGTCTTAGCAGCACTAGTAAGCAGTGTTTATGGGGCAGTAGGGCTATGTTCTCCCCTTCCTGGCATGGAGGCTACAGCCTGCAGCAAAGTGAAGCACAAAGCCATCAGGGCACACCAGGGGAAAAAGTTTATGCCCAGATGTTTTTCTTTCCTCAGACCCCAGCGACATGATAGAGATGCAGGGATTTAGTGCAAGCTTGTTGTCATGGCAGCTGGAGCACTGTAGCCAAGGTTCCTCGTGTCTCTCCTGTTCGACAGGCAGCTCTCCTTATGACCTCCCCAGCTGCTGCAACTGCATACACGACAGGTAAGCAGGGTGTGCTCAGAGAGCCAGTTTGGCCCCAACTACGGAAGGCAGATAGTGGTGGGAAGGCTTTGGCTGTGTGGCCTGTGGAGCACTTTGCAGGCACATGATGTGCGAGTGCCCTTGCTCTCCCACACGGGGAAATCCAGGGTGGGCTTGTTGGTTGCAATATCAGACACTAAGGGATCAAGAGTTTAAAAATGCCGGAGTCATGTTTCAGAACTGATGTTAGCTCTGAGGTTCCAGCTCAAAGATAGATGCTTGAGCCTGGGGTGGGGGGAACAGATGAACATGGGAGCCTAAGTCCTGCTGGCACTTCTGAGGCAGACTTTCAGTAGCTTCCTTTCTGTGCAGGTAAGTCAGGGCTGTTGTGGTTGCAGCAGTCTAGCTAGAGACTCTCAGGTCCATCTGGGATTGATTGCAAGGCAATGCCCCTGGCAGAAACCCCCAAGCCCAAGTGGCACTTCAGAGTTGTGGTAACAAGCCAGCCAGCAACTAATCTGGCAGAGGACAGCTAGAAATATAATTGATCAGTGACCTCAACAATGTCACCAGAGTATCCAGTTGCTGCAAGGTACCTGATAAATGGTCTGAGGCAGCGCCACAAGTTTTAATATTTTGTGACCTGAGCTTTTCTGCTAGATAGGCCTCAGGGGTGGCAGCTTGCTTCAGAGAAGCAGGGCATTTATCAGCCAAGTGGGAATGTTAATCTGTGTAACCCAACTTCATTCCTGTCAAAAATGTCTCTCTCCAGAACGCCTTTAAAGATGCTGTGTGAAAGCATGAAGAGACAAATTGTATCCAGAGCCTTCTATGGATGTAAGTGAAGCTTTTCACCACGGAGGATGTTAGCACAGTGCACTCGGCTCCTGCCGCAGCCACATGCTTGCTTGTAGGAGGACTCCACTGTTAGGTACCTGAGCATGTGTAGGTGAAAGGGTGGAGTCTTTATAAGGAGTCGGATCAACTCAGAACATTAAGAGGATCAAACTCTTGGCCCAAATATCCAGGCTTCTGTAAGCAGCAGTGGAGAACAGAGGCTTACAGCTCTGTTCCTTCCCTCTTTCCTTTCTCAATCCACCTTTCAGTTTCACTTTCCTCTTTGAACTGAATGTGCCATCAGCTTTGCAAACCTTCGTTCTGCCTAGTGCACGTGCAGACTTGCTTTGTTTTAGGGTGTTTGCTCTAAGCTTCAACTGTCCACTTTGGTTTTTAAAAGGGCCTGCTGTACGGGTTCCTTCTCACTTACGTGATCTTGCCACTCTCCCCCACCAAATGCAGGGCTTGCCTACTGCCGTCATTTGTCTACAGTGCGAACACATCTGTCTGCTCTTGTGAACCACACCATCATCCCACCCGACAAACCAACCAGCGCCACAGGAGGCCTGACAAAAGAGGTCTGGAGCAAATACCAGAAGGACAAGAAGGTAAAGGGGACCTTGGTGAGCTCTGCACCAGCCCCCAGTTTTTCAAAGGGAAATTCAGCTTTTCTGTCCCCACTCAGTGCTCAGTGAAATGGCATCTCAGCATTATTTGGCTGGGAATGCTTCTCATGTTGTCCTCTAGGAACTGTTCCTGAATTCACACCCTGTGCCAGAATTCCTCTATCAACATCTGGTGCGGACCCAGTTCCCACATTGCTCTGCCAGTGGGGTGGGAGTCAGGGGCCCTCCAGGGTATGCGTGATGTAAATGATGTGACCAGTTTCATGTCTGGTTGCCTGCACAAGCTCCGAGTGTCTCAGCAGGCAACTTTTACAGGGGAGTACATTCAAATGGTCAGACCTGAAATTCTTTGTTAAAAGCCAGAATGAGTTTTAAAGGCAGCTTCCTGAAGCCAGGTTACAACTGTTTAGCACCCACCCCTTTCTGGCTGCTCTGCAGTCTTCACTCCATTTGAGCACTTCTAGCACAGGCAGTGCCAGTGCAAACTATTTATTGCTTTTCAAGCTGTTTGCCTTGCTCCCAGGCACAAACCCCATAAGTGAGAGTCATAAATACATGCCCTCCAAATCAGGGGCTCTTAAAAGGGATCACGTCCTAGAAGTAAGAAAGAGTTAGCTCTCTGGAATCCAGCATTGCGTAGCATGTGGGGCTGTGTTTCTGGATGGATGTCTGTTCGTTAGGAACAGAGGCATTTTTTGGGATGCTGCAGTCAAATGGTAACAGCCTTGTCATCAGCACAATGGGCCAAATTTGAACTGGTACCCTAAAAACAAGGGTCTCTGTATTCTACTGTTTGTTTTTTTGAGGCCCATTATGTTTGCAGATGCAAGTGCTTTTCTTTGTCACACAAGCCCAGAATACAGCTGTATTAACTCCCTTATCCCGTCTCTTCCCTGCCTCCTTTAGAATTACAAGGAGTTGGAATTGCTGAGAAGAGTGTACTATGGTGGGGTGCAGCACGAGATCCGAAAGGAAGTGTGGCCCTTCTTACTAGGTCACTACAAATTTGGCATGACCAAGAAGGATATGGATCGGGTGAGTTCCAGTTTCTGGAATTTGAAATTGGATGCAGAGTTAAGAAAGGAAAACCAGACGGCACCAAGAGCATTCAGTTGGTGGAACACTTATGTTAGGAAAAATGCTTCAAAAGCACGAAGAATGCAGCTGTTCAGAGGAATCTGAAACCTGTGATTTCAGGGGCTTCTTTGTTGAGAACATCCTTCTAGTAGGTCTGGAAGCCAGGACTTTGTTTTGAGTTCTGCTGTGGCAGCCTGATCACATAGCCTCACTGTATCTCAGCAGTTTCTGTATTTGTTAAATGGGTGTCAGTTAGCTGTGTAGGGTCCGCTCTTAGATGAGTGCAGGGAAAGTACTTCCTGATCCTGGGAGGGAAAGGGGCTATCCCAGGACAATGCATTCCTCAGTTACTGTCAGCAGTGTGCCAGGATGCACAGCAGAAATTCAAATCCCCCATCTTGAAACACTAATCCAACTACTTTTAAACTGTGCATATCAAGCTTTTGTGACCTGCAAAGCTTGAGGCATACCTTACTAACAGTCCCTTTTTAGATGACAAGATACCTGCACAATGTACCACTTCTGTCTTTTTGACAGAATGCAAGATGTATTTTTTTTTTTTTTAATGAAAACACCTCCGTTCTCCTTTGAAACACCCGTGTAATTGCAAAAGTGTTTGGCACTCGCATATAGTAGCTTCTTGTCCATATTAAAAGCACCCAGAAAACCCCCAAACCCATGGCCTCTGCCCAGTTAGCAACATTTGCTACATGTTGGTGCAGTTAAACATGGTTAAGGGCCTGAGCCCTGGAGATCAGGGGCTAATCCTGTCAGAACGTCCATCACATAAACTGTTGTGCCCCGCTAACACATGGGACCTTCAGCACAGAAGCATTACAGGGTCACAGACAAACCAAGCAGGAAGAGGCTGCAGCGTCTCCTAGCCTCTGTCTATGCCTGGAGGAAAAGAGCACCCTGGCCGCAGACCCACCCAAATACGAGTGGGTGACCCTACCAGAGCCTGCCAGCCCAAGCAGTGTATTCCTGTCTTTTGGTGGCACTGGGTGTCCGTCTCTGGAGTTGGAGCAGATCTATTTTTACCCCATTTCCCAGCTGTAATTCAGATTTACACATGTTTTCCCCTGTTCATCTTAGATTTCTTGATGGGCTGTAAGCCCTGCCGCAGGCTGCTTGTACAGTTTTGGAAAGGACGCTTCCCCACATTATACCTTCCAGCATTGGCCAACCAGCCCATAAACCCTTCCTTTCTTGCCTTCTGGGTAGAGTTCGTCTTAGCCCTGCTCGAAAGCCAAGAAAGTTGGGTGCAAAGTGTTAAGTGTAAGTGGACACATTTCAGCTTCATTATACCATATCTTTCTGCGTGTTTAAATTATATATTAGCTGCTTTTGCTCATCCACTTCAAACACTTCTGCTTTGCCCTTCTTCGCCATGCCCTTCCACCAACTGATCTCAAAGCACTTGACAGAAAATAATTAGCTCTGAGAGGCCCGAGTGTTACTGCTTGTAACAAATGGCTAACGGAAGGCAGAGACATTAGTGAACTGTCAGAGAGAAACAAACAGGCTCGTGCCAGTGTTAACAATGAAATCCTAGGACTGACGGCAGGAGTCAGGCTGCTGTGCTCCAGCTACGCACACGAAGCCAGCATCAGCCAGCACATCCATCTCGCACCACTGTGCATCTCCTCAGTGACTTGCCCTTTCGCAAAGGCCACAAGGCTACGCTAGGACTTGGTCTTCTTTCTGGGCAGACAAGGCCTGGTGTGGGCTTACGCCACAAGCCCACCCGATGCTTACTCACTGTGCAAAAGGAGAGTAGGCTCTGGAATGCAGCATGCCGACTCCCTAATCTCACTGCCGACGTGTATCCTCACCAGCGAGAGAATGTACGTGGTGCGGCTCTGGAACAGATTACAAGGGATAAGTAGCAGTTTTTGTATAAACAGGATATTTGGCACCTGCTAGCTTCCAATTAGCGTATATCCCAAGGGTATTGCAAGCAGCTGCAGATCACAAAGGCAGCTTGACCTAGAGCCTTCCACGCTGAACAGTTAGTCATCATCTCAACTGCTGGTGTTGTGTAAGCAGCCTTCATCCCACCAATGCGCGGTGACTTGGCTTTTCCATCCCAGTAATCCGGTCATTTGGAGCAAAGCTGGAGGCAGGCAGCCCAGAGCTTTGGCGTGTTCAGAAGGGCTCAGGATCCAAATTTTGTGCCTTGAATCAATCTTGCCTTAACCTCGGAAGCATTCAGCGTGCAGTGATTCACACAGCCCGCCCTGCTCAGAAGGTCTTAGTGTTGGGAGGGAGCTGGGGACAAATTCTTCCTGAAATTGGGTAGGGTACTCTCCCCAGAGAGAAATAAATTGCCTCATCCCCTCAGGGTTAAACTCTGCCCGGCAGGAAATGATAGGCCAGCTCTTCAGGCATGTCCCCTCTGCTGGCTGGCCTGTTGCTCAAAAGTGCGGAGTTGTTATCTGCGTGCAATACAGGCCCGTACTTGAGTAGAGACGAGTGCTGCAGGAGTCACAGCCCAAACCTTAACCCTTGTTCCATTCAGTGCTGCAATTTCCATGTGCTGGCCTATGTCGGGATTGTCCCTGTGGCCTTGGTAGTGGTAGTGCCCCACTCCATTAACAGCTGAGCTAAGAGGAGAATCTTTTCACTTCAACTTCTCCTCCCACCTCCTTATCCCACCCCTGGCCTGCCCATGAGGCCTGCTCTGTTCCCAGCCCATCTCATGGCATCACAGGACCAGCCACGAAAATGGTCAGAACACAGCAAGGAGAGCCCCATCAGGTACACGCGTGGGCAGGAGGCAGAGAGAGGGATTGTGTGCGTATGTGCCAGCGTGAGCTCTGACGGGACCAGCGCTGTGCGTGGAGCTCACGTGGTCTCTGGCACCAAGGTACCTTCCTTGTGAAGCTCGTTTTGAGCATTAGCAGGAGCAGTTTTGAGGCTGTGCAGTAGCTCCCAGGAGGCGCCAGTATGGCATGTTTGCATGCCAGCACTGCTATTGCCAGTCATCACCCTCTCCCTAATGACTGGAGTTAACTGCCTCCTGTTTCCAGTCATTCTTCTACTAGATGATGTGTGTTGGCTTCTTCTGCCGCCTCTGTGATCTGATTGCTGTGGGTTGTATTTTGCTTCTGTCTTTCACTCCTGCCTGTAGGACTGGACTGCAACACTGAGGAGGGGCCTTCAGTGTGTGGCCAAGCAAAAAAAACCTGCCTCAGTTGAGGAAGGGGATGTGGAACCAGAACTCGGGGAGACTAGTCCCAAGTATCTGAAGGACGGGCCTGGTGAGGAGGAAAGCTGACTTTCATTCCTATGTTGACCGACCTTCCCAGGCTGTAAGCTAGGGATGATGCTAAGTTCAGGTGCAGCAAGTCATAAATCAGGGCAGGCTGGGTGCTTTGTTATTCTGTTAGAGGGCACTAGAGGAGTGCTACCCACTTGTCAGCTCCTTGGAGCCATCTTTTCTCCAGCATCCTGCACAGAGAGGCCCAGTCCATGCTGCAGGTCCTTGAGGTGACTGCAGTGCCAATAATTAATAGCAGTACTAAATGGTGTGTTTGTCTGAGGAGTCCAGTCCTAAACAAAGGCCCCATTGAATGGAAGGGATTCACAAGCAAGTGAGATCAGAGCAGTCGTAACTTAAGCATGTTGAACTCAACTCTCCATGTTCTCAGCTGGGCCCGTCCTGGATTATTTATCATCTTTGCTTTCTGGCAGTATCTTGCAGCCATCCATCAGCGCTAGGCAGTCAGGCCTGGGGCACACTCCAGCCTGGCTGTCCTCCAGCCTCCTGCCTAAGGTTGTGCCTGGTGATTTATGACTCCGCTGCCTCAAGTGACAAATATCCCTCACCTTTGGTGAGAGCATTTCAGTAGCAAAATTGGCTGGCAAAGCCCAGAGCCTGCAGCCAACTCACAGCGATGATTTCTGTCCAGCTCTTGACAAGTGACAGAGCAGCAAAATTGTTGCATGTCCTTATTTTGCCCCAGGGCTTTTCCAGGCTGACTTTGTGCAGAAAAAGCCAGCAGTGGTGGTGGACAGTTTACTGCTGCAAGGAGCAGAGGAGCATCATCTGGCCACATGCAGTGCAGCTGTGACAGAGCCCATCTCCAAGCTGGACTTTCCAGCCTGGCAGAATCACTTTCTGCTCCTGAGTCTTCCTGTGGACTTGGAGTTGGACCCTGGGGCACACTGAGGGAGCTCAAGCAGCACAATGTGACGACAGGAGTTGCTTTGCTGCAGCCAGCCATTGGTGCACCACGTCCTGTCTGGCATCTAGAGCGTATGGCAGACTGATGCCACTGGCTCCTTTGCTCTTCTGAAGACAGCTGGGAGTGTCTTCACCACAGGCTTAAAAATATCCTGCCTGCAGTGATCAACTTACTCCTGGTGGTTTCTCAGGTGCTTCAGGTTTGCTAATGTGGGCAGGCGGTCATTATATTTCCCAGCCCTGCTGCTTTATCTTCGGCTTGCTGCTGCAGCAAGCTCCGTGGCTTTGTTGTCTCTTTCCACTTCCTTCTTTATTGACATGCCCTTAAAACTCCATCACAGCCTTCTCCTATCAGATAGCTTTGTGGAAAGCATCCAGATCCATAGCACCCCTTTCTACAGCTTGGTGTTTGCATCTCTTCTCACAAACACCCTGCTGAGATGGGGGGGAGTAACACTTCCCTGAGGCCCACAAAGGCTAAAGCAACTTGCGTCAGCTCAGACAGTATCCCAAGTCCCAGCCCAGAGACTGTGAGACTCTCTCCCTTTTGCAGACAGGGATTTAATTCATGTTGCTGAAATGGGCCTTCACCTGGAGTCTGGGTGTGGAACGCACAACTCAGAGCCTGAATTCTTGTTGGATCTTTTCATTAATTTCACTCTCTTCTTATGTGCATCACTGGTTCTCTCGCATGCTGCTTGGCAGGGAGAATCCAGCCCTTCTGACCCCTCTGCTTTGCAGGTGGATGAAGACATTGCTCTCCAGTATCAGAAGGTCATGGCGGAGTGGAAAGCCTGCGAGGTGATAGTGAAGCAGCGGGAGAAGGAGTCGCACTGTGCCACCTTGGCTAAGTTTTCATCGGGCAGCAGCATTGACAGCCACGTCCAGCGACTGATCCACAGGGACTCCACCATCAGCAATGACGTGAGTAGCCTGTTGCATCTTCAGGGAGAAGTATTTGCCTGTCAAGTGATGGCAGAGGCTTGGTGCACACGGCACAGCCTGTGTGATCGGGAGCAGCATAATTCAGGCAGTCAAGGTTTCAGCTACGTTGGTTGGTTGAGGGGCTGCTTGGGGGGAAGGTGGAGAGAGAAGACATGCACTGACCCTGATCCAAGCTGCACATGCACACTTACCCGCATGTGGTAACAAATGGATGTTTTACTAGCCAATGATTACATATTGCACTAATGTACCTGCATACCCCTCTGATTTGCCAAACTAACAGCTCTGTTTTTTGTTTTCCTCCTACCTACCAATCATCAGGTCTTCATCTCTGTAGATGAAATGGACTCAGCAGAACCAGACTTAAAGGGCCAGGATGACCCTTCTTTGACTGTGGTGAACATGGATACACCAACAGCAGTTGCTGCAGTAGAGCAGCAGTCGGTAGAATTTGATTCTCCTGACTCTGGGCTGCCTTCTTCTCGGAACTACTCTGTGGCTTCAGGAATCCTCTCCAGCATCGATGACGGGCAGAGCATCTGCTTTGAAGATGGGGTAGAAGAAGAAACGAGCATGGACTTGGAAAGAACAGATGTGGACACAGTCCATGCTCAGAAAGCCGGGTTGGTGGCCATAGAGGCTCAGGATTCCATACCAGAGGAACAGCTGTGCTCGCAGCTGGATTATTTAACATCTGGAGTGGATCTTGCTGCTGTTTGTGCTGCGTCCTATACAGTAGGTCGCATTCCCTTAAAGTCTGTAGAGCACTCTTCTTTGAGTGATCCCTAGGGTGTCTCAGCTATTCTTCTAGACAGGGTTTAATGAGGATAAGCCACAACCACAACCTTAAACCCAGGTAGCAGGAGGGTAAATTAGAGTCCCTGCCTCCAGATCTGTCCTGCTTATCTTGCTTCTGGATTGAAGCCAAAACTCAGAGCATTTTCTCTAGGCCCAGTTTTAGCATAGCCAGAACCTCAAGGGAACAGCTTAGATTCCAAAACTACCTGATGCAAATCCTAACCCTAGTATTGCACCATCATGGCTCCTGGATATTATTATTGCTCTCAGTGGATTAGGCTTCAGGCTCCAAGGCTTCCCCTAGTCACCCATTAATAGACCCCCTGCTAGAATGGGGTGTGTTTGGTACGTTCACCAGTGCCAGCAGGTGTGTTACAGCTGAGACTTAGCAGCAGGCAGGTATATGGATGCTCTGATCATGCCTGCAAGGTACTTACCCATATGAAAGATGCCCGGAAGTGTAATAGGTGTTATAGGCTTTGTTGTACAGGCGTACTAATGCCGTGCCAAGTGTGACCCACATCAAATAGCTTGCTGCAAGATCTCTGCTTTGCTAAAATCCCTTCATCCCTGCTGGACTGAGCAAAGCCAGGAAGCCCATGCTGGTGCCAGTGTTGTGGGCTGATCTCTGCCAGCTGGGCCTTGCAGCAGTTTGGGACTCCTAGAAGCTGCTCTAAACTCTGCCAGTTGGCTCCCAAGTCACACCACCAGCATGCTCAAGCCTGTTCCCCCAGGCTGGTCCCCACTGCGGTGGTGGGGAGAGGATAGGAACCAGGGAAGCCAGATCTGCTCCAGCTTCAAGCTCAGTAGTGGTAACAGTGGCACTACCACACAGCTCCTGTGTAGCACTTGTCTTCTCTAGATCTCAAAGAAGGTTTATAGGAACACTTGGTTGGCAGGATCTGAGAGTCTTTTTGCTGCTTAATTCAGGTTAATCTCTGGAAGTGTGTTTTGTTTTGTTTTTTCCTTTTAACTGCAAGTCTAAACACATGCATCTCTCTCCTAGATAGAATTACTGGACACAGTTGCCTTAAATCTGCATAGAATTGATAAAGACGTCCAGCGGTGTGATCGGAACTACTGGTATTTTACTGCTGATAACCTGGAGAAGCTCAGAAATGTCATGTGCAGGTAACACCGTTTGCAAATGAGACTCTTCTTTCATCAACTTCCAGTTAGATTGGGTCAATAACAGTTACAGAAGTTTTTGTCTTTCCTCTCCCTTGGGAGTGGCAAAAGTCTACCAGAAGAGGAGAAGGTAAGGGTAGGGCAAATGGTCTAGGTACTACTCTGGGAACTCCAATTCTGAACTCCAGCAAAGACTCCATCTCAGGTCATTTAAATTCATGCAGTCTTAGTTTCCCCACCTGTATGATGGAGAGATAAAGAGCCCTGGTTTACAGGGCTTGTGTCAGGATTGTGAGGGGCACGAATGTTAGAGCAATAGTGTCTGTTTTCAGATGAAAACCCCTCAAGTATCTTCACCCACTGGGCAGAATTGAAATCAATGGGAGCAAAGCGTCCTAGGCACTTTTGAAAGTCTGACTAGGCTCGTATCGGCAGGTGACAGATACATGTCCCACGAAAAATCTGACGTTTCGGTTTCAAAACATGAAGCCAGAACCAATTAAGGCCCAGTAAATATCTGTGCCACGGCTTCCAGGTAGCATTTTTTCTACCCTCAGATGTTAGACTCTCAGGCACTACAAGCTCCATTCTTCCCAGGGCAAGCAGCAGTTAGTCTGGCCAGGGTCCCTCTGGTTTGGGTAAGCTGGAGGCCAGACACTGCAGTTGTCTGAGGTGGCTGCTGTCTTGTTTTGGTGAATTTGTGTTTTTAGTCCATGGCAAAAAGGGGAGGAGAAAAATGTTCAAAAGCTGCCTGAAGCCCAGGGGCACAAGCCCCAGTAGAAGCTGGCGATTCTGCTTTTGGAAAACAGGGCAGCATTTTGGGGAAAAAACTCCTTTTGTAGAAGTCCAAATGCATTATGTGCTTTCAGCAGTCCCCTCACCCAGTGGCCAGAGGCACTGGCTCTCTGCGCACCGTCTTCCAGCCCAGTATCAAGCCGGGCAGAGATGCTGGTGCCCTGTGACTTACGTGTGGCTCTTCCCTCATGGAGAACTCCCAGGGAATGTGTCTATGGGTTTGGGGGGATATCCTGTAAAACAGAGGGGGAAAAAAAACACACAGCCCTTGCTTGGGAATTCCTTAAATGGATTCACAGTTTCTGTTAAGTTCTCTAAGGTTTTCCAAGAGATTTCTAGAGACTCCCATTTGTTTTGTCCTCGGGAAATTTTGGCCCCAGTTTTATATTCTTTAGAGACCATGTCCTCTGAAGCCTTCCAGTGGAAGCTGGCATTCTGGTAGCCCGGCTGACTTATGAATAGCCCCCAGCAAGATGATTTGCACAAGGTCTCCTAGCGTCTCTTGTTTCTTTCCTCTGCAGTTATGTTTGGGAGCACCTCGACGTTGGCTACGTTCAAGGCATGTGCGATCTCCTGGCTCCTCTCATGGTCATACTCGACAGCGGTAAGAAGGCAGAGCTGCCTTGTAAGGCTTGGTCACTGGTACGGATTAGGCAGATGAGCCCTTTAAACCCTGAGCTGGGAACTGCAGGACGGTCTATGTAAATGCTACCTCACCAGCAGAAAGCCTGCAGGGATTGAGTTGTCTGCTCATGCACAATCGCTGATATGACTAACACCCGCGACTTAAGGATTCCCTGGTTAGTTTTTTCGTGGCTTCCAGCCAAAGTTCAACCCAGTTCGCAAGCCAATAGTATTTCTGCAGCTGCAGACTCAGCAGGTGATCTAATTAACCCAGTGGCTTGACTCTTTTTGCTTCAAACAAGAGGGGTTTTGCAATCAGCACATAGACTATGGTGCCCTAGCTAATATTTTAACCCAGCACCAGATACAGAGGAAATAACTGAGTTGGAAAGAGAAAACTACCCCTTTTCCAGCTCCATCACGTTTCCTTTCAAGTTACTGCCTTGTCCAGCTCAAAACGTGAGATCCCCAGCATTGCAACATACTAAGCCATACCATTTCTTTGCCTCCATAGATCAGCTGGCATACAGCTGCTTCAGCCACCTGATGAAGAGAATGAGCCAGAACTTCCCCAATGGTGGTGCTATGGACACGCACTTTGCCAACATGCGATCCCTAATCCAGGTGAGGATTCATGATGGCCCCTGTTCAAGGTGGGAGAGGCAAGCGTGCCTTAGTTCCCACCATCTCGATCCTGGTCTCATGCCACAGCGAGGGGCAGAAGCATCACAGGACAGCAGCAGTGCCTGGTCACCTGCCCCTGTGTGCTGGGTGGGAGTTGTTGGGTTTACACAACACAACAGGCAGCACACATCTGTCAGTCACATGCGTAAAGTCAGTCAACCAATTCTTACCATAACTTGACAGGTGGACACCCCCCCACACACACATCTCTGTGCCAACTATGAAAAGGAACAGTGAAGTTCACATGCCTTAGGCCCAGCCAGCAGAAAATGGGAGTAGGGGCAGCCTAAAGAGCAGCTGAAGAGAAGGCACCAGTTTAGCTTTCTTTGGACTTGCAGAGAGCGTGGATTGATGGCATTGCTGTCCTTGGGAGGTCCATTCTATTGCAAGACAGACCAGGGATAGGGGAGGCTAGAAACCTGGCTGGGCCCAGCTTCCTCATGTGATCTCAAGGAAATCACCTGGCAGGGAGTGAGCCAGTGACTGTGCAAGAGAGAGAGAGACTAACACCCCTTCACCCCACAGCTGGAGGAATACAATGAGAACCTTTTGAAGAAAAGGCCACCCACACTATATCTGTGCTCAGTTTCCAGGGTAACTCGATTACAAAATGTTTTGGTCTTCTCAGATATGCTGAATTATTTTGAACACTGAACTCCATTTACTCTCTAACCATTTATTAGATGTAGTTAGTGACCCCTATAGTGGAGTGACAATAAAATAAATGGTCACACATTTCCGTGAAGGTTACTTGTATAAATAGTATACAGCAGGGTATAACATAATTGCCGAGATAAGCCTTAGCACATGTTGTACTCCAAAGGAAGCGATTGATGCTACAAAGGATAAAGGTGTGGTGTGAAGGAATATAGATAGTTTTCAATAAATTTCACAGCAGCTGCAGTGTACTTGCTCCGTGGACAAAGCCTGGTGGGCAGTATTTCTGCACGTTTTGTTCAGGAACTTGAGCACTACATTTTTCATCAACTTAATTTCACCACGTTTGGCAAACCCCAGGTTCCTCTCCTACACTTCCATCTATAAGGGTGGGTTGCTGTGTCCTAAGAGCCCTGTCAGCATAAGCATGTCCATTGTCTCTGCATTCACCACAGATTTCCCTTGTTAACTTGTAACTTTACAGTAGACAAAACTGGTTAGTTTTAGGGTAGAACAGGGGAAACCATACTCCCCACACACTGTTTACACAGTTCTTTAAGCTGGATATTTGTTCTTTACACATTGAGGTTTTGCTTTGTGGTAAATTTGAGTCTGCTTTTTAACTTCTTTGTCTGAGTTGATACTAATGACCATTTAGCCTCTTTGCCTGCACATGCTTAGAAGTCAGAGTATGCCACGATCTGACCATAGTAGGTATGGAACAGGTGGCCCCTATTTAAATATAAATACCTTTCCATTAAATATAAAAGCCTCAGGTTAAGCCACAGAAATGCAGCTCACTGTTCCACGACACATGGGTCCCAAACAAGTTTTTATGTCATGCGTAACCCAAGTAAAACAACATGAAAAGTTTTAGCAGTTTTGCCTTGCTGAGCACAGCCCTCTCGATACCCAAGCTGGAGTCTGTCCCGCACACGTTATTGCATGCAGAAGGTAGCACCATCACTAATCGACAGTCACAGACAGTAAGCTGATGCTGTAAATGCTGTGCTGCATATTTGTAGCAAGTTGCCTCCATCATTCAGCCCTGGTCCGGCAGGGTAATTGCTCAGTCCAAACATAGCGCTTTCAGAACAGAGCCTGGCACGTTTGGTCTGACGGGCCAGGTGAGCAAGTCTGTTGGAATAGACCCTGTGCAGCAGGATTTGACACTTGATATAGATATTTGTCTGGTGTACCGGGGTTTCATGGCAGTGGTTGGATTAGGCAGTGCAGGGTCAGAGGGAAGCCCAGTGGGCTCCCAACAGACTCGAGTCTTGGGACACTGGTGCTGCCAGATGGGATGCTGAAATGTAGCTGTTTGCGTTTCAGATTTTGGACTCCGAGCTCTTTGAGCTGATGCACCAGAACGGAGACTACACTCACTTCTACTTCTGCTATCGCTGGTTCCTGCTTGATTTTAAGAGAGGTAATACCCTGAGCCTAAACGCATTTGTTAGGACCGGGGTCTGTTATCTGTATTACAGTAGTGGGCAAGAGCCTCAGGCAAAACTGGGCTCCCTTTGTGCTGTGCATTCTGCATATGTACCAGAGACGGCCAAACCAGAGGGGAGGGGAAACTGAGGCACAGAGTTGGAGGGACTTGCCGAAGGCAGCTGAGGAGCAGAGCTGGGTGTGGCACCCAGATCTCCACAATCCCAGTCCACTGGACCACGCTCCTGTGCATCACACACACGCACACCTGGTGTTCTCTGAGGACGGAGGATTGCAGGCTTTGGTTTTGCTGTTACGTACTGGAGTGATTTTGCTTTGCACTAATACTCTTCATACTACAGACTTCTCACAAATCCTTAGCGTGAGTGCACATCTTACCTTTTGCTAGTCATGCTTTGCTTTCCTTTTGCATCCTGAAAGAAAAGCGGTCCTGGAGTTTCACTTGCTCTCCCAGTCAGCTTCTGATCTTCGTGCTAATGCACAGTGCTGTCTGATTGCACGGTATTGCAGGGGGATGTTTAACTCCTCCCTCTAAACGAGTTTTTCTGTGTCATTATTATAGGCGGTTGTCTATTCATAATCTGTAAAATACTTATTAATTCTGCAAAATGTATTACAAAAGGGAGGACCAAAGTAATTGTAAAATGTACATAGTTTGTAAGCCCAACAATTAACCCGTATAACCATGAAAAAGCAGATTTTGCTACTGTTTTACACAGGAGTAAGAGAATCTGACCATGCAGAACTTCTAGCAATGTAGAGTTTTGTATAAAGCTTAGAAAACATTTGGGGGAGAGAAAGAAAAAGGTCAGCTTGAATAATCTTGAATAATAAGCTCCAGTCATCTCAAATGATAACAACCTGATGCTCTTGTGATGTTTATTCCCATTCAGAATTGTTGTACGAGGATGTATTTACAGTGTGGGAAGTTATTTGGGCAGCAAAGCACATCTCTTCAGAACATTTTGTCCTTTTCATTGCCTTAGCACTGGTGGAGGTCTATCGAGAGATTATCCGTGATAACAACATGGACTTCACTGATATCATCAAGTTTTTTAATGGTAAGAAACTTTTAAAGTCATTTGGTAAAAGCAGCTTTATGTTGTGTTTTGCCCTCCGCGCTTTGCTATTACTGGCTGATAGATTTTCTACACATGTACATATGTGCGGACACGCATAACTGGGTATCAATATAGATTCACATACGTGGGTATATCGACACCTATAGATACCAGCAAATGTATCTAGGGATATCATGAATACCTGTCTGTACTTGAGATATCTGTGCAACCAGGCCCAGCCTTTAGTAACTGAAAAGGCTGGACTGACGCACACACCTTGCTCTAGGGCTTCCCACGGAGCAGGCAGCATTTGTAGCTACATTTTGAGGCACAGACTGCCGGCCAGAGAAACCAGTGCTTTGCTGAACAAGAGCCCGAGACATGTCCTGTTTAAGGCAGTTGGCATCAGTCGTGCTGTGAAAGCTTTGGTGCTGGGATCATGGGCCTTCATTTGGCCATTAACACGAACACCTACAGCTGTGTCCAGCTGTTAGCCAGCACCCCCCCACCCCGGCAGCAGCCCCGTAGTTGGTTTCCATTTCACTTCTGCAGCCATCATCTCCAGAGCCATGCACCACCTCTTCCCTCCCCTCGAGGGTCGGTCCTTGCCAGCACAAGGAGATGGATAGAGAAACTGTTGTGCAGGGAAGCTGCCCCCACTCTAGGAGAGCTCTTCTCCTCCCCAGATCAGCTTTTCGCTTTGGATTTCAAAACAGGCTGGGTGTGGAGGGTGGGCTCTGCAGACCAGTTACCCCTGTGGACAAGCCTAGGGTGCAGGTGGTGAAATGCTAGCCCTTGCTGGGACGCCTGCCCGCTGAGGTCCTTTGCATCCAAAGGTTCTGCAGGACTCTTAAAGAAGGAGCCATTAGGGGCAGTTCTGTGAGGCTTTAAAAGCTAATGGCTTAGGATATTCCAGGAAGCCAACCTTAACTGCTGACGACTTTAAACCTTTCCCAGCCCCGCTCTGTCTTGGCACCTTGTGAGAGTTTGCACACGTTTGGTGGCGGCAAAGACTCCCTGGGCACGGTGCCTATTCCTCTGTCCATGCCCTTGGCTGTGAGGGTTTTGCCTGGGACAAGCAGGATTAGCAGGTGGGGTCAGGCTCCACGGGCCTTTAGCAGCAAGGGATTAGTGTGGGGTTTATGGCACGCAACACGTTTCAAATGCTGCAAGGCCCCTGGTGGGCAGTTCTGAATGCTTGCCTGTTCTCCCATCTAGAAATGGCCGAGCATCACAATGCCCAGGAAATCCTCAAGATCGCGAGAGACCTTGTCTACAAAGTGCAAACGCTGATAGAGAACAAGTGACGGCAGCTGTGGAGAGAACGGTCATGGAGCTGCCATGGGCCTGTGCAAACTGTGCGATGAAGCTGTTCTTTGCACACACTTCAAACAACGTTTTAATTGCATCTTCCATGTAATGTATAAGTATTCCAGAGGTCTGTAAGAGAGACATTTAAAGCCAATTTCCCCCAGAGATGAGGTTGGCTTGATTGTCCTTGTTGCTCTCACGTTGTATTTTAAGGGAAAAATCTTTTTTCATTCTGCCCTTTTCTTAGGCTCTAGAAGTGTCCATCTCTGTGTTTGAGCTATTGAGGGGATTTTGTTTGTGGGAGGCTTTGTATTTATTGACCTCATACTTCTGTAATGCCCTGGGAATCAGTTGTGTTCACCCAAAGTCTCCTACACATTCAGAGTTAAGGCCTGTTGAAGTGTACAAACAGCCCTTAGTAAAGCAAATGCCATAGACTGGGCATGTAGGATACAAGAAGAGAGGCACTGGCTCCCACCTGTTAGAGCATATTTTGGCTGCAGAAGTACAAAGGCCCATGTATAGACGCAGCATTTAAAGGTGGATCAGGTTAGAAGTCCAAGAGCTGAGATCATGCTCCACATGCTACCTCCCCTAGGACCAGAAAGAAAACCCCACCTGAATAATAGGTAGACCCTGATGTCCACACTTAGGCACAATTCTTTGAGCAGTGAACACCTGAACCATGGTGCTGCCCCCATACCTGCTAGGGTGAGCTTGAAGACAAAGCCCAGTGTCAAGTCAGTCCCTGAACCTACCTTCATGCCATCAGGGACCTCAGTCAAACACTTAACTCTACCAAGGACAAGCTACACGTTGAGCCACAGCAGCTCCCGGCAGTATGGACTTATCCAGGCCTGGGAGTGTTGGGTGATCTTAGACCGAAGACTCTCCTGCACTCCAGTGGCACCCCATTAAATTCAGTGGGACAAGGAATAGTTTAGCGATGGCAGAAGAGGTTTGCAGCGGGGGAGGTGCCTCAGTGTGTCCAAACTTGCACCCCAGAGGCACTAGCTTCTTTACCCCATTTCTTAGAGATGAAAGCAGTGGCTGTTAGGGTGTCTTCCTTTGTTAGTCCCCCTAGGAAGTGTCCTGGATTTGATTTTTATGTGGGTATGGGCAGTTTCCAGAGTAGCCAAATACTTCGTGTGCCAGCCGTCACTTCATTGCATTTGACCCCAAACTTCCCTCAGTTGTTAGCAGGTCTTACAGAGGCTCTGCTCCCCTCAGTTTCCTGGCTGTAGGGGTGACATGACACTCGCTTTTTCAGGAGCAAATACCAGCTGCTGCTAGGAGCTACAGGAGTTTTACCACCAAAGGAGCTGTCCCAAGTCTCTAGTTGGACAGTAGCTTTATTTCAGGCTGTTAAATATCTACTTGGTAGCACTGTGACCTTCTACACTAGATTACATGCATAGATCCCAGATGGACTACAAGAAGGATTCAAGTAGGCCGGTTAAAGAATGAGTAATGCAGACAGCAGCAGACACATAGATACTTTTAGCAAAAGTTCAGGTACCCAAATGATTTTAGACGCACACATTCAGGCACTTGTGGAGAGAAGAAGAAAAAAAAAAAAAAAAATCATGCCCATGCCATTGTCTCTCATTACGGAAGATGACCAAGGCTTTTTGGAATTTAATTAAGTTTGCTTCTGAACCAGAAGCCATGGCCCGAAAGATCATGTGAAGCTTGGACCTGACCCTTGTAGCCCAGTTTTTATACCTTTCTGTTATGTTTTCAGGAGGATGTTGAAAAGCTCAGTGTGGGCCAGGGGGCTGGCCCTGTGCCGGGGAGAACACTGAGCGCTCGGGAAACTCCTCCAGGAAGAACGAATCTAACTTAAATGACCTTTCACAGGCTGTTTCCTAGGAGAGGAGCAAGTGAGCTCTGACATTCCTGCAAGTGTTTTCAGCTGCGGAATTAACAGGGCCAGAGTTTGCTTGCTTGGTATCCGCTCTTTGTACTGTGTGGCCAATGCAAGCAAGTCACTTGGGTTCAGCGTCATTCTCAAACAGGCTAAAATCCACGAGCAATTGAGTGTGAAGCCCGTCACTCCCCGTTAGCTCGTGCAGAGACAGACTGTGTGTTGCCAAAGAATGAACTGGTCCCTGCACGGGTTCCTCCAAGCTACAGTTTTACCATCACAAGTGGGGGGGGGTGGACAAAAGCATCACGTGTAGGACAAACTTTTCCCACAAGAAGCGTATCCTTCCCTGGTGCTAAGTTATACAGCAAGACAGGCCCAGGCTTTAGTCCCCGTTCTGTTTTGTTTCTGTCTTTTGAAAACTAGGAGAGAGGCTTAGATACAAAGCTGAAGTTTGGCAAGCCTGCAGCGAGCTCCAGCCTCAGAAGTACCGGAGGGCACAGCTTTGAATGGAGGCATTTTCAGTTCATAGGACCATAGGGCTGGCAGGCTTCTCCAAGGGTCTTCTAGCTCTGTCCCCTAGAGAGAGCCAGGTCCCACATCAGAGCACACACAGTACCAGAAAGTTCTGGCTTTGCAAGCTGGTTAGTCCTTGCCCGTCTTCATCCACCCTTTTAAGGTGAACCCGTGGTACTTGTATTAGCTGCCTGGTCCCCAGAAGGCCCTGTCTGCCAGGGCCGACATGCTCAGGTTCACAGAGCCGGTAACCAGAACAGACTTTGCTGCAATAAGTGAGGAAGGCAAGAGGAATGTGGAAACTGCAAAGCTCTTCTGCATTGCTGAACCACAGGGGCGGGGATGCTCTGCGCGGTTTGAAACACCTTTGCAGCGCTCTTTGTTTCAGGATGGGCTGCTTCACTCCTTCAGGCCTAATGTGCACAGAGATTGCCCCCACCTGGGCTGCTGTCATGTGCTCGGGGGAGAAATCTGACAGCAAGTGTCGACCTACTCGAACCGTCCCAGTTTGACACACAACAGTGCAGCCGTCACCCACCACAGTCTCCTTCGCACAGGTGGGCCCATGTGTTTGGAAAGGCAAGACGTACTCTTAAGTAGCAGCAAGCAGCAGGGTAGCAAGAGACGAGAAAGCCCCTGGCTGGCTCTTTCTGGCCGTTCCTCTGTCTCCAAATGTCTGGAACGAGCACTGAGAGGGGCTGCGTAGAAACGTGTGCATGGGGCAGATGCAGCACAGCTCACTCACCTTTCCCCTGGATCACTGCCCCAGTCTGTCCGCCCACCCCATGTGCCAATACTGGTGGGGAAAGAAGAGTTTTATTATTATTATTACCATAGTTATTATTATTGCTACTGGCAACAGTTGCTGGGAAGAAAGTTGCTTTGCAAGGCCAGTCCCCCTCACTCCCAGGCATAGCCTCACTGCCTGCTGTGGGATTACTGACCCGAGTCAGGCGAGCTGGATTTGGGCCTGGAAAGTGTTTAGACTCTGCAGCTGCAGCCCGAGTCTCCGTAGCGCTCAAAACAGCAAGTTAAGCAGGCCAGAGTCTCTCAAACCACGAGCTGCCCTGGGAAGATGCAGATGGATGTGGGAAAGGACGTGCAGATCTATGCTCTTGGGGGAAGGCTGCATCCTTGAATTTCAAGGCTGCCTCACAGCATTACTGTCACATCTGTCCTGCCTGTGTGCCCAGGCTGGCAAGCCTCATTCAGGACTTTGCTAGATCAAGGGAGATATTTGTTCCACGCTCCTCACGGCGGCAGCCAAATGCATTCAGAGCTGAGCCTTGCAGGCACAGGACAAAAAGCAGCAGTGTTGAAGAGGCACCGTCCAGTTCAGACCTCTGCAGAAAGGGGTGACGTTGGACTGGGAGGGAGAAAACCCTAAGCCAAGAGTTGGCTGCCAAAATCCCGACAGTGGAGGGTGCCTGACAAGCTCCACTGTGTAGCCGTTTGGGCGTGCTCACACTTCAGACCAAACACCCCCACATGCGCATTGCTGGCATGCGAGCAGTTTTGACTCATCCCTATTTATAGTCGTGTGTCCAGTTGTTTTCTAGACCAGTGCATGGTTGCTGGAAGGTCTTGTTCAAAAAGCTGCCGTGTATGTGTCCATTCGCTCATTTGAGAGGTGAAATGCTCGGTGAAGCGCTCCCACTCTCTGCCAGACCCCGACCAAGGCATCCACGTAAAAAACCCAAAGCAGCAGCACAGTTTTGTTTGGAGTGTACGATACGGCTCTTTACTATGTAAAAACAACTCTGCAAACTTGGTGGTATCTGGTATTATAACATTCTGCATTACCTGTATTTTATGAATATTGTGCATTGCCTTATTTATTTTTGCCAGGAGCGGACTATTTTCTCTTTATTGCTCAGACTTATTTATCTTTCAATGCAACGTATGAATAAACACGTACTGTCACGGCCGTCTGCGAGAGCTGGACACAGTCTGTTCCCCTCTCCCCATTCATCTCCCAAGCTGAGCGGAGAGCATTAACCTTATGCCTCTGTATGAAGAGAGCGCACGAGACGCAATTAAGTTTCCATGCATAATCCACACCAGCCATTGTGCTGCGCCGCCTGTTTCAGAATAAGTAGGTCACAGCCAAATTGCTTTGGAAGGTTCCCCAAGTAGCCGATGGTAAATGCACAGTGGATGAAGCTTCCCAACACAAGGCGCATGCGTCTGCCCCCCAGCCAGCCAGATCTCGGTGCTGAGCAGGGGGGAGCAGCATTTGCCAATCTGGGGGGCAGGGCGCAGGCTTCTTGCAGTGGGGGGGGGGGGGAACACAACCCTCCCGTCTTACAGCAGCTGGTGGTTCAGCAAAACTGCTGAGCTCAGGAGACCTGCCCTTTCCCCTGCACCTCTTCCCTTTGCTCTCTGGTGTTAGTCCAGTGAGCTGCCAAGTCTCTTACTGCCTCGCTTCTCCCACTATGTGAGGGAGGGGTCGGGGTTCGGTTTTGCTGTCCAGGCTGCGTCACGTTCCCAGCTTGGCTGCCTGCTTGTTTCTGGGTGTTGGCTTTGCTGAGGCTGTGCTGCCATGTTTTTCGCAGGATAACTCAGCTGTGCTTGCTTACATGGAGCAAGGACTGCACGAGGTGCCCGAAATGGCTTATGGGCAGCTGCAAGCATCCCCACAGGATAGTTCCCGCTAGTCATTCACTCGGTCTTATATGTTCAATAGCAACGGAAAAATAAACTCCATGGTTATGTGCACAGAGGGAGGATTTTGGTTGTCTTGCTGCTGCGGCTCCCATTTGACTTGGTCCCTCTGTCGCAAAGTTTCCCTTTTCTCTGCTTTCAAAAAGTTGAAAGCCAGGAGGAAGTCCAGGCTTGCCCAGCCTGGTACCCTGCCTCGACTGCCACGTTTTGCTCAGTTACCTCTGTCTGCAAGGCAAAGATTTTTGCTAGCCTGGAGAAGGATTTCAGCTCTCAAGGACAAGAACAGCTACAGCCAGTTGCTGAAAGCCCTGCAATAGCTGGGAGTTGATTATCTGAGAAATGATC